AATTTCCACACTCTGTTGGTCACCTTTCCTTGGAATGAGAAAAAATTTAGTATGTGTATAAAAGTCTTAAAGGTCTGTGATTTGAATCTGTCAAGTATTTTGTGGGAGAAAGCTATAGCTGTCTGCTTCCATAGAGATTACAGTGCTGACAATCGCATGTGGTTCTACAGGGTTGCCACGCATTGGAATGGAAGCAATGGCAACAGGTTGCCAAGTAAGTGTGCAGTAGTATCTTGTTTTCATTTGGAATTCCCTAATGACATATGATGTTGGTCATAGGCTCATATGGCCACTTGACATTTGTACATCTTCTGTGGTGATGTGTCTATTAATACCTTTTTTGCCCATTTTTAGTTAGTTTGCTTGATTTATTATTGTTAATTTCTTATTTGTATATTTTGGATACAAATCCTTTACTAGAAATATAAAAAAATCTGTGACTTTTCTTTCATTATCTTAGTAACTTTTATGTGACAGAAATTTTAAGTATTAATAAAGTCTAATTTATTTTCTTTTTCTATCTTGGTACTTCTGGTACCACCACTCCTAGGTATACGTCCCAAATAATTGTGAGCAGGCATTCTGATAACTGAACATTCATATTCACTGAAACATTATTCACAATAGCCAAATTTTTAAAACAGCAAAGTGTCTATCAAAAGATGGACAAACAAAATGTGATCGATACGCATAATAGATTATCATTCAACCATAAAAAGGAAAGAAATTTAATATATGCTACAACATGAATAAACCTTGACAATATCATGCTAAGTGAAATAAGCCAGACACAAAAGAACAAATATAAGTCAATTCACCTGAAATATCTACAATATACAGTTATACATAGAGTAGATCAGAGGTTATCAGAGGCTAGGGGATGAAGAAAGGGGGAATGACTATTTAACAAGTACAGAGTTTCTGTCTAAGATGCTACCCAGTTTTGTAAACAGATGGTGATGATAGTTGTACACACTGTCAATGTAATTAATGTCAATGAATTATATGCTTAATTATGTCTAACATGGAAAACTTAATACTAAATATATTTTACCATAATTTAAACACCCAAATAAACTCTTATCATCAAGTCCAAAAGTCACCTAGATTTTATCTTATGTTATCTTCTAGAAATTTTTATTCTTAGTAATGGGGGTAGGTGTGTCAGAGACAATAAGACTGGCACAGGATGGAGCAGGGGTTAGGACTGTGGTACACAGGGTCACTATGAGTCGCAGGTGACTCGACGACACATAACAACATTATTCTACATTTAGGCCCAAGAGCCATTTTGAGTTAATTTTTCAGTTAACTGATGGCCTTCTGCAATTTGAATACAATATGCCAGGTGAATATTTTTTGTATTATCCTGCTGGATCTTCTCTAAGTCTATGTCATATGAATCACAGTTACTTTAAATTTCCTGTCTAATAATTCCAGAACCTGGGTCACAACTCAGAACCTGGTTCTCACGATTGCTTTGTCTCTTCAGACTATGTGTTTCTTAATCTTAACATACCTTGTAATTGTTGAAAACCAGACATGAAATATCAAGTAATAAGACCTGAGATGGTATGTTTTCTAGTTTGAGGTTTTATGTTAAACTGTCTAGGATCTGGTCTGCATTTAATGCTTTTTGTAGCTATTGGTGCCAGAGCCTTTAGTCTCCATCTGTGTTATGTATGTTCCCATGTGCGCATGTGTGTGTGTACATGTAGACGACGTGGACTTTTCTACACAGAAGACTGTCACATGTGATTAAAGACAGCTTTGCTTTTCCTTTCTAATCTGAGTGCCTTTGATTTCTCTGTGTCTCTTTCTGTCTTTACAGGTTAGATGCTCTACAGTGTTAAATAAAAGTGGCAAAAACAGGCATGCCTGCCATGCTCTTGGCTTTAACAGTGAAAGCATTTAGCTTACCATTAAGTGTGGTATTAGCGGCAGATTTCTTACAAATGCCCTCTATCAAGATGAGTAAGTTTCCTTCTATTTTTAGTCCATGAAGATTTTTTTTTAAAATGTGTGGCTATTGGATAATTTGTCAAATGCTTTTTTTGTAAGTCTATTTAGATAATTGTTTAGTTGGGTCTTTTGTTTCATTAATTTATATAAATGAATTGATTTGGGGTATTAAACCAATCTTGCTTTTCCAGAATAAATTCCACTTGGTCAGGATATATGATGTCTTTATTATGTGGCTGAATTTGGTTTGTTAATGTTTTTTAAAAAGTTTTGATGTCTTTGCTTATGAAAGATACTAATTTGTAGGTTTCTTGTAATATTTTTATCTGGTTTAGGATATGTTTAATACTGATTTAATATAGTGAGTTGAGAAGTACTCTCTCCTCTTCCATTTTTGAAGTTTGTGAAAGATTGACATAAATTTATTATTTCTTAAAATAGTGTCTAAAGAGGAGAACATGGGACATGGGGGCACAGGGCCATGAGCATCTCTCTGAAAGGGCCAGAGTGAGAAAAAACAGCACTGCCCCAGGCAGAAAGCAGATAAAGAGCCCATAGCCCAGCTCCATGGTGCCCTAGAGCCACACCAAGAATGGGAGGTTCATTTATTCTTTGCTGACTCACAGACTCACAGTTGTGGTACTGAGAATAGAGTTTACTAGGGAAGTAAGTTGGAGAATGGAGAAGGCAAAGAATATCACCCAAAACAAGTCCAGGTTTTAGCCCAAGTTCCAAGGCACAAATTCCTTGATTAGTTCAGGCTCTGGTTTCAGTGCAGCAGTCAAATCCAAATCATCCAATAAGGTTTGCCTCAAAGCAGTTATAAGTCTTCTCCTTCAAGCATCCACAAAAGAACAGCTAAAACCTTTAACTGTTGCCAGCAGAAAGCAAGAAGCCCCAGGTCACACCTTGTCACAGTTTCTCTCCACCAGTGCCACAGTCTCTCCACCACCATCACTAGAGACTCACTCCAGTCTCCCTCAAGTCTTGCCACTACAAACCTTGCTCACCCCAAGTCTTGCTTGCCTCATGTCTTGTTGCCCAGCTTGGGAAGCACATTCTCTTATCCTAGTCCCACAGGTGTTGATGATTTTCAAGACCATGTGTCTGCAGCTAAGGTAGCTGGAGATCAGAGGGGGCTAACTGTAATGGCTAAAAAACCTCCACTATGCCAATCATAGTGAGGATGGCACAGGATAGGACAGGGCTCAGATATGTTGTTCACAGTGTCACACTGAGTTGTACTTGATGCAATAGCACCTAATAACAACAAGAAATTGAATGAGGTTGTTTTGTGACACAGCAAATGATTTACTCAGATGTATTTTTAAAACGAAAGCTTTTTCACTAAAATTTATGTTACTGCTATATAATCTACATACAGCCGGATTCAGTATCTTAATATATAAAATTCAACGATTTTGGTGAATTCTCAAGATCATGCTGCCGATTGCACAATTCACTCCCAGACACTTTTTACCACTAAAAAACCCTGAAACTTGTTTAGTTCCTCCTTTCTCATCCCTCCCCTAGGTCTCTCTCAGCCATGAATCCACTTTCTCTCATTGTGGATTTGTCTCTCCTGGGACTCTGGTATAAACAGAATCATACAAGGTATGGTCTCATGTGTGCTGCTTCTTTCACTTTGCATGCTTATGCCAAGGTTCATCCACATTGTAGTATGTATCTCAAAAACCAAAACAAAACCTCAAACACATTGCCATCAAGTTGGTGTCAACTCATTGTGACCTCCCATTGGGCTTTCAAGGACAGAAATCTTTCTAAGAAGGGGTGGCTCATCTTTCTCCCATGGTGCCGCAGGTGGATTTGAATTGCTGACCTTATGGTTAGCAGTCTGGCACGTCATACACTGTGCTAATAAGATTCCTTAGAATGTATCAGTATTCCCCCCCCTTTAATGGCTGAACAATATCCTGTTGCATACACATAATACATTACCATTCTCATGGCTATAAATACTGTATATATACACTACAAACATTCATGTACAGGTTTTTGTGTGGGAGGCATTTTGAAGAAGTGTGCCTAAAATGCTATAATATGCATCAAGTACCTTAAGACAATGGGAGACTATGTGTGTGTGTGTGTGTGTGAGTTTATATGTCGGTGGCCAATCCAAGTTTTTGAATGATGACAAACAGTCTTTGGGTTTAAGAAGAGATCATAATGGCTGAGTCAACATGTAAATCCTAGCTCTACCCTACATGTGTTTCAACCCTGTCTGGCTGCATGCCTCACCTTCTGTTCTGAACCACAGCGTAAGTGAGGCCTGCATGGTGGGAAAGGAGCCATGCCATTCATGCCCAAAGAAACCAGTGGACACTTGCCCAAACAGTGGCTATTCCTATTATGCTTTTGGGATGAAAGGAAAAGTGATATGTATCATTTTGTGATTCAAGAAAAACAACAGTAAAAATCCTGCTCTGATGTTAATGGGGTGGGGTGGGGGGAAGTGACCCATCAATCAATGGATGCGATGATGCCCAAATATCACATCGGTTAGAAGAATCATCCCACATAAATGCCCACTTTTCTCTCCTTTGGGTCCTAAAACTTTCATCACTACACGGCAGTACTTCTGTGGAGATGGACATGTGGTGAGCCACCAGCTGTTCACCAGTGTCATCTAGTTTCATTCTTAGAGACCTATCTAATTTTGGCCCTCCTCTGTGACTGTCACTTCCCATTGTCTTACACATGGCCCTGAAAAGGTTGTCAAGATTCTTCTCCCTCAGTCTTCATTCTAAAAAGGAATTTGAACCCTGTTACCTAAAAAGTCGGAGCGAAGCTATGTTTCTTTTCAACTCTATTTCATTTAGGGAAAAGATGGTGAGGTAAAGGTTGGAATTAAAGATAAGAATCCATCAGGTACAAACTGTTCTTCAAGCATAATGGATATCTGATTCAGTCCAAGAGACAGAGATCTAGTACCTGACTAAAAGTTGGCCTGTCTTTTGCCAAATAACACAGCATGTGACATACTCAGGTATTCTTTTATGAGACAAGGTATTCTGTACCTGCTTGTTGAAATGTCCTCAAAAGGGTAGAGAATCTCTCCATTGTTACAGATTTCGCAGATGAATCCCTTCTGGCTACACAGACTGCAGCTGTACACGTGTGAGGTGGCAAATTTAATGACTTTGCCCAAGAATGGAGCCAGCTTCCCTTCTATTACCTGCAGGAAGAGAAATGGGACATGGAAGTAAATTCATTGAAAACAGCGATCTTGCAGATGCAAGGAGGACTGGAATTCCTTTCCTTTACACAACAGGAAAACCTCTAATTACAATTTCTCAGCAACTCGGAGAAAGGAAGATAGAGTATTTTAGCCTGAAAGAACTCTGGTTTAAACCACTGGAGGTTAGAAAATGAAGATGCTGACAGTGGCATGAGGAGGGGTGGTGTCAGCCAGTGTGGTAACTGATGGTGTCACCCTCTCCACAGACCTCCTGGGTACAGACCAGACAGAATGCTTGCCAATGGTTATTACCCATGTTAATCACAGAATAAAACGTGATAGACTTGTAGAGATCTTAAATGCAGTATTTCTTAGGTTATGTGAACATTATAACAAAATTGTTTTTTAAAACCTTTCTACACTGAATGAATGAGTGGAAGTATTTTTCATTTTTGCTCTTCTTCCTTTAATCATGACCTTACTCTTAAAGAGGTTATTGATACAGGTTCACAATTACTAATTCTCAAAACATTAAAACTTAAATACCAGAAAATTTGACAAAATCAGTGATTATTTTAAAACAGCAGCAGTAACAAAAACAGTGAGTTTGTAGCATGTGATTGTTGTAGTGCTGTCAGTGAAACCCTGCAATTCCAAACATCTCTGTAACTGAGTAATGATGATACTGCATAGGAAAATTTAAACTAAATGAGTGTAATGTGTAGCTTTGTATGTATACTGATACATGTAAACATGGCTTAAGAAAAACACATTTGTATTATCATATTTATAGACTACTTTCCAAGACCAAGTTCATCCACAGTTATGACATGGTATATGGGAGTGCTGTGGATTTCCCGAACTGGATTCAAAACATAAGGGTAAATATTAACACAGAGTTGTACGCTATAAACTCAATGACACATTTTCTCTGACAAATTGTGCTTTTTTTTTTTTAAAATCATATCCCCAAAAAACACACACAGCAAATGTAGAAATCTCCCCCCACTATAAAATAGAATAGAAAAGGTTAATAAATTGGTAGTTTTCACTCCATACTCAAGATAGTTTTTAAAACTTACACAATTTTTAAAAATATAGCTGATGGCATAGTCCATAGGGAGTTGCAATGCTAACCCAGAAGTGATACTTCTCTGGTGGTTCAAATCCATCAGTGGTTCTACTGGAGAAAGATGGACTTTGTCTTCTTATACTATTTGCAGCCAAGGAAACCCACTGAAGGGTCAGCTATGAGTTGGTTCTCAGTTGATGATAATGTATTTTTGGGTTTTGTGTTTTTTTACTTAAAGATTGGGTGATTCCATATGCAATTCCAGATTTTTGGCTTCGTTTGGAAAATAGAAGAGATATTGAAAAATGAGGCCTGAATTCTACCACAATGACAGGGTGCTTGCTCCAATAAGCCGTCTCCTCCAATGACCATCATTCTCACTAGAACTTGGTGTCTTGCATCTGCTTGACTTACATATTTGTCACCTATTGGGTCTGAGAACATCCATGTAATTTGAACCCATTATTGGTCAAATTTCTTCTCAATTAACACTGTATGGGTCTGAATCACTTCAATAGTTTACATACAAGTAAGACAAAATTGGACTTTATCTCATTGAGATTAATGCATGCTAATTTTGATTTTCTAAAAAAGGACAAATTAATTTTATGTTGGAGGTAACTGGATACTTTCCTGCAAACATTAACATAAAAATCTCATAGAAAAGTAGTAGCTAACCATCTTTTAAAGAGAAATTACAACACTTCAATGATTAAATAGTAGTAACAGATAAGAAAAAAATGAAATACTACAAAGAATATAATCATGTGTTCCAAAATAAATTACAGTTATACATTAATCTGAATAGGAGTATGTCAGGGGTCCTATCTCCATACTTTTTCAATGTATAAGCAGAACATCATTCAGGAAGCAGGGCTTTATGAGGAGGAATGTGGCATCAGGATTAGAGGAAGACTCATCAACAATCTATGTTACGCAGATGACACAACCTTGCTTGCTGAAACTGAAGAGGACCTGAAGTACTTGCTGTGAAAGGTCAACTGTAGTCTTCAATATGGATTGAAGCTGAACATCAAGAAGACAAAGATTCTCACCGCTGGGCCAACTGGCAGCACCATGATAGATGGAGAAGAGGTTGTTAACAATTACAGCTTGCTTGGTTCCACAATCAACATTAACACTCATAGTCAGGAAATCAAAAGACGAATTGCACTTGGAAAATCTGCTGTTAGGGACCTTTCCAGAGTACTGAAAAGCAATTACGTCAATCTAGAGACTAAGGTGTGCCTATCTAGGCTTTGCAATTACTTGTTAAGGATTAGAGAGCTGGACAATGACAAAGGTTGACAAAAGAATGGATGCCTTTGAATTGTGGTGCTGGAGAAGAGTCTTGAACATACCATGGAACACCAGGAAAACAAATAGATCTGTCTTGGAGAGGGTGAAACTGAGTTTCTCCTTGGAGGCTAGGATTTTGAAGCTCCATCTCACATACTTTGGTCACATGGCCATGAGGGACCAGTCCTTGGAGAAGGACATCATACTCAGAAGGGTTCAAGGACAGTGTAAGAGAGGAAGATGTTGGATGAGATAGATTGATACAGTAACTGGGGCAATTAGGATGGGTGTGTTGGAATCAGTGAGACTGGCTCAAGACAGGGCAGGCTTCAGAGCTCCTGTACATAGGGTCACTACGGGTCACAGGTGACTTGATGGCACATAACAATAACAACGACATACATTAATACTGGAGATAAAAATTCAATTAGTATTTAAAATATCATGGGGTAATCCTATGATGCTTAAAAAAGAAACACAGCAGTGTTGAGTGGAGTAAGGGGGGAGAAAGCTGAAGAAGCCAGTCTTTCATTCTACATATATACTTCTTCCATTTTTCCATAATAAATGTGTATACTTTTGCAATAAAATGCAAAATGTGAACAGAAAAATGAAGCTTAAAGTTTTGTAAGAGTAGAATTCTTTTCTTTAGAAATGGGACAGAAATTATCTTGAGTCAATTTTCTCACCATCCTTAACTTACTGTTTCCTACATTACTTATCTTTAGAAAACCATAGATAGACTATTTATATACTTTCAGGGGGGAAAAAACCCAATAAACCCCAGCAAAGCATGCCCCTAATACCAACACAAGATGCAAACTTTCTAAGAAAGAACCACTGCCAAATCATATACCCAACCACCAGTAAACACTTCCCAATGTGTCACACAGTTATTTCTAAACTGTGGTAACAATAATGCAGCTGAACTTGGCTTTCCTTATTTCACTCTACCCTAAACAATTAAAGAGAAACACCAACAAACTAGAATATATTTAGGAAAAAACAACTGGAATTTAGAACAGGTGAATGAATAAAGGCTGAAGAAACTGGAGATGAGAAATCTCAAGAAGGAAATAAAAGCTATCATGTAGGGTCTAAAAGATAAAACCAGCAGCATTTGAGCATAAAGTTCCCTCTACCTAGGAGACAGGGAGCATTGTGAAGGCTCTTAAAGTATTTTACAGAATTACACTGCCATCAATACATATTTAGTCCTATTTAGAATTAATTCTACAAGGACACAATACATTTCTCTGTATTATTAAATCTTTTATAATTGCTTAATGAAAATGTGATTTCCCTCTTTTTGTATATGTCATTTACATTTATTTAGGTTTTTTTCAAAGTTAAGCTTTCAGGTAAGGTTTCTTATTAGCAATAGCTGGCATAGCAGAAAAGAATTACAATTATGCATATATCCTACATTTGAACATACTATTGGACTCATATAAATGCTTATACTTTTTATGTAACTCTTTTGGGTTTTCTGAAAATATTTCCTTATCCCTTCCTTTCTAATATTTACCCCTTTTGTTTATTGTATCATTCAGTACTTCTAAAACAATGTTAAGTAATAATAGTGTTAAAGGCATTTATGTTATTTCACTGAGAATATGGATGGAACTCGAGTTGCTATAATTAAGGATGCTTTAGGAAGAATACTAATTGATCCAGGAAGTATTAAAAGAAGATGGAAAGAATATACTGAGTCACTGTATCAAAAGGAATTGGCAGACACAGAAGAATTTCATGAAACAACATATGAGCAAGAGCCTATGGTGATGAAGGAAGAAGTTCAGGCTGCTTTGAAAGAAACAGCAAAAAATAAGGCCCCAGGAATAGATGGTATATCAATTGACATATTTCAGCTAATAGATGCTGCCCTGGACGTGCTCACCAAGTTGTGCCAAGAAATCTGGAAAACAACCACTTGGCCAACTGATCTATATTTGTTCCCATCCCAAAGAAGGATGATGCAACAGAATGTGGATACTATAGAACAATATTGATTTCACATGCAAGCAAAATTCTACTGAAGATTATCCAAAAACAACTGGAACAGCACATCAGCAGAAAACAGCCAGAAGTTCAGACTGGGTTTAGAAGGGGTCGTGGTACTAGGGATACTGTAGCTAATGTCAGATGGATCTTAGCTGAAAGCAGGGAATACCAGAGGAATGTCTAACTGTGTTTCATTGACTATGCAAAGGCATTTGACTGTGTGGATTATAACAAACTGTGGTTGACTCTGAAAAGCATGGGAGTCCCAGAACACTTGATCTTGCTAATGTGAAACCTATACTTGGACCAAGAGGCAGTTGTCAGAACAGAGCAAGGAAACACTGCATGGTTCAAAATTGGGAAGGGCGTATGCCTGTCTCCATACCTTTTCAACCTGTATGAAGAACAGATTATCCGGGAGGCTGGGCTCTATAAGGAGAAGTGTGGTGTCAGGATTAGTGGAAGATTCATCAACAATATGCGTTATGCAGATGACACACCCTGCTTGCTGAAACTGAGGAGGACCTGGAGCTCTTGCTGCAGAGGGTCAAGGACTGCAGCCTCCAATATGGATTGAGGTTCAATGTCAAGAAGACAAAGATTCTCACCATTGGACCAATTG